CATGACCTGAGCTGAAGGCAGATGCTTAACGACTGAGCCACCCAGGTGCCCCTCCTGACTACCTTGTAGGCAATTTCCCCTCCCCCCATGCGGAAAACTACTTTCTGAATTTTTATAACTACGGATTAGTTTTGCCTGTCCTTGGTGTTACATACATACCTTCTGATAATTAACAGTTTATATGTTCAGGAGAATGTAAAGGAGACCTCAGAGTAGAACAAAGGGGTGGTGTGGGAAGACCATGGCGACGCATCTCTTGGATTGCTCGTTCTCTGTCAGTAAAAAACAAATAAGAGATTATACCAAAAAGTGAAATACAAATATAAGCTGCTGTAATTGTTACTGGGTGATTAAATAGCTTCTCAATTAATTAATGTGTATTTCTACTAAATTTAAATCCTATGTCCTTATATAATTTTTAAGTACTGAATAAAAGATTTCAATTAAAGGAATATGTACCATAAGAAATTGTTCAAAGCCTCCCTGAATAGAGATTTTCAAAGTTGGCTGGTTCCCTCCTCTACCCCACCCCACTTCCTTTCCCACCTCCTCTTGCACATAAGCCTAGCCTCCTTCCTAACAACTCCCAAACTTTCAGAAGTGAAATCACTATTTTCTCTGTTATGGTCTCCTTCCCTGTGTCTGAGTCAGCCCCACAAAGCATGGTGACTCTGTTGCTCCCTCTTTTGTGGGCTATTTTGTCTCTGGCCTAGACTTTCTGCCTTATGTTCTTCAGTATCCAGGATTTCTACCTAGTTGGGTGTTTCACAAACTTTTTTTCATTATTATCCCCCTAAAGAAACTTTTTAAGACATTCCCTCCTCCCGGGACGCCTGGGTGGCTCAGTTGGTTAAGCGTCTGCCTTCGGCTCAGGTCATGATCCCAGGGTCCTGGGATCGAATCCCACATCGGGCTCCTTGCTGAGCAAGGAGCCTGCTTCTGCCTCTGCCTGCCTCTGTCTCTCTCTCTCTGATAAATAAAGAAAATCTTTAAAAAAAAAAAAAAAGATATTCCCTCCTCCCAAATTAGCTATCTCTCCCCCTGAAATTTTAATACATAGATACGCTATTTATGTACAGAAGCCCTTTAGAGGGCTATAAATCATTGTAATACCTAAAGTTTTTTTTTGCCACTCTATTCCCCCAAGAACCAATATTGTTCCCTGGGTGGTGTAAGAATGTATAATCTAGTTGGATGGTAAGGAAAAGGAGACATGGTCATGTCAGCCAAGGTTTCTTTGGGGACCAGGGGCAATGGAAAAAGAAGAATTAATGGGGTCTTATAACCCTAGGCAAAAGAGGGCTTGATTTAGGGCCCTTGGATTTAAGAAAATTTAAATCATCATTAGGAAATGGAAATCATCATGTATGTACAGTTTAGCACACTGAGAAACTAAATCTTCCCAATTATGAGAAATTAATAACACTGCTTTTATGACACTGATGCATTTCTTCACTACTCAGGCTTCATTTCTCTTTAAAATCATAAATATTTCCTAGCAAATTCTGTCTATGCTCCAAATAGCATATCACTCAAAGTTCTGATGCCAATAGATAATAAGAGAACTCAAAAAATTGACCTGATAAGCAATTTTACCAACTATTTGAGAATGAAATCTCAGGAATGTTGATGTCTATGGTATTAACATAGCAAGAAAGGGTAATGGAGGGGCGCCTAGGTGGCTCAGTCATTAAGCATCTGCCTTCAGCTCAGGTCATGATCCCAGGGTCCTAGGATCGAGTCCCGCATTGGGCAATTTGTTCCATGGGAAGCCTGCTTCTCCCTCCCCAACTCCCCCTGCTTGTGTTCCCTCTCTCGCTGTGTCTCTCTCTGTCAAATAAATAAATAAAATCTTAAAAAAAAAAAAAGAGTAATGGAAGAAAAGTAACTTAAGTGATCTGCAAACTAGATTTTGATTTTAGCTGTGAAAGCAGGTCTCATTTCTCTTTGTAACACTTGGGGATTCAAATTTTCAATATAATAAAGCAAATGAACTGGAATATAAGAGAGTATGAAAATTACTAAGCTATAGGGAATACACTGTATATAAGAGTATGGGATATAAAATTAGATCTGCCTTTCCTTCATTTTAATTAGTTATAATTAATTAATTTTTAAGTAGACTCCACATCCAGCATGGAGCCCAATGCAGGGCTTGAACTCGTAACACTGAGATCAAGATCTGAGCTGAGATCAAGAGTCAGATGCTTAACCGATTGAGCCACCCAGGTGCCCATTAAATTTGTATTTATTTTTTTAATTCAAGTATAATTAACATACATGTTAGTTTCAGGTATACAAGATCTACCTTGATTTTAGTTTTGGTTCTACCATTTACTATTTGTGTGACTTTGGTTTCCTCTAATATAGGCATAAAAATAGATTATTGGTATATGGTATCTGGCACATATTTATCAATTTTTTTTTTTTTTAAGATTTTATTTACTTATTTGTCAGAGAGAGAGAGCACAAGCAGGGGAAGCGACAGGCAGAGGGAGAAGCAGGCTCCCTGCTGAGCATGGAGCCCGATGTGGGACTTGATCCCAGGACCCTGGAATCATGACCTGAGCCAAAGGCAGACACTTAACCGACTGAACCACTCAGGTGTCCCTTATCAATTGTTCTTATGATCATCATCACTTTTGTTGATCTATATTTAGAGTTTCCTATTGGACCATATTGTTTTGGGTTCTTGTAGAATCCTTACTACCTTGCTGATTCCCTACCTATACTCTTTCAAATAATGCCCTAATATGGTCCTGAGAAATGCTATAGAAAACATTGAGACAACACCTGCTACTTTATTTACTATAAGGATATTATCTTCCACAACACTTGTTGCCTTTTTAGGAAGAAATATCAGAAGAAATTTACTTTTGTATAAATGCTAAAAGGAAGCTTTTTTTTTTTTTAAGATTTTATTTATTTGACAGAGAGAGACACAGCGAGAGAGGGAACACAAGCAGGGGGAGTGGGAGAGGGAGAAGCAGGCTTCCCGCGGAGCAGGGAGCCCGATGCGGGGCTTGATCCCAGGACCCCGAGATCATGACCTGAGCCGAAGGCAGACGCCCAACGACTGAGCCACCCAGGCGCCTGGAAGTTGTCTCTTTTTAAGCTATATTAAATCCTTTTTGAAATAGGATAGGGAATAAATAAAAACACTGTCCAGTGCTAAGAATTTTTCTTACCGTTCGTATCTTTCAGTTGAAATCTGCCTTTTCAGAGCATCGTGATCGGTTTGTAATTGTGTCACTTTAGCCCGAAGCATGGTGTTTTCCCGGCCTTGACTAGTTCTTAAAAACAAATTTTAAAAATCAAAGAAATAAATAAATGTGCTGTTTTGTAATCAAGTACTATGGATTTTTGTTTTTGTTATTAATAAATACAAATGGAGGTGATACTTAAGGACAAAAAAAGAAAAGAACAAGACTTTTTAACACAAATTTTCTCAACTTCAGGAGCTTATTTTTTTCAGGGGCTTCTATCACTAAGATTCATCTTATTTATTTAACAAATATTTAAACTGAGCTTCCAGTATGTGCTAGGCACTGCAGCAATGTTGGAAATATAAATTTGAACAAGACATGAATTATAACATCAAGATGTAAAGTATCTTCGTTGACTCTTTCTTAACTCCTGCCTCAGAAATATTTTTTTCTTTTCTTTTTTTTTTTTTAAAGATTTTATTTATTTATTTGACAGAGAGAGAGAGCACAAGCAGGCGGAGTGGCAGACAGAGGGAGAAACAGGCTCCCCGCCCAACAGAGAGCCTGATGTGGGGCTTGATCCCAGAACCCTGGGATCATGACCTGAGCCATGCTTAACCGAATGAGCCACCCAGGCGCCCCGAAAAAGAAATATTTCTTAACTTCTTTTAAAACTGTTCCGCTTGTACTATCCGCTCTGGGTTTCTTCCCCTCTTCCATCAAGTATATCCAAACCTGTCCATCTAAAAGACTATCATCAATCTCCTAAAAGGTAATATCACACAGCCTTTTTGAAGTCTTTTTCCTAGTCCATAGCAAGAGACACAGACGGCTCTCCCCATCCTGAAATGCTCTCTCCTTTGCTGACTCCTCTTTGTTCCTCAAATTTAGACATTTTTCTAAAGTTCATTCATTCACTTCCATGGGTGCCATCTCTATGGTGAAGACAGACAAATCTACATTTCCAAACACAATGTCTCTCCTGAACTAAACCCCTGAATTCCAAAAGCAGCCACCACGTAAGTAAGATATTTTGGTTTTGTACCACATTATACACTTCCATCCCCCTCTCCCACCAAAAATTGAAAAATTATTTTTGACAAGCTGTTTTCTTTACATAGGTTGATTTATGGCACTTACAATTTACTTTCTGAAAGGGTTAACTTCTCTTTAAGTAGCTGAATTTCTGTATCCTTCTCGTGGGATGTTAAATGAGAATGAAATTCCTTATCTCTATTTGTAGCCAACAATGATTCAAGGTTTTTAATTGTATGTCTCTCACTTGACAGTTGTTTTTTTAACAGTTCTGCTTCTGATTTTGCATTTTCTAATTCTGCCATGACCTACAGGGAAAACAAAGGAAGATTACTTCAGTAGATTTTTAGACTTATTCTGAAAAATTATTTGCAGAGCTATACACCCATCAGTTATTTGTTTTGGGTACCAGTTAAAGATTTTGAACCATTTCTTTAAGTGTAAGAAAATCATCTTATTTTCAAAATAATTTTTGCTATTTTCAGTAAGAGCTTATTTGCTTATTTGCTACAAGACCTACTCCAGCCCTCAAATAGTTTCCATTCACACTACCTTGTCATTAACATAAAATCCTAAAATGTGGCCCATCTTATCAGCAAGGATAAGCCCTTCTGATCTATTTTGTGTCCTCTGACAACAGTCAAACCAGCACTGGGGTTTCTCAGTACCTGAAAATAAACATACTACTAAATGAATGAAAACTGAAAACACCTATGTTTGAAAACACACACTGGGTTGTTTAAAGTAATGCCTCAGTTTGAGAATGGGAAGTTCCAGCTAACTAGACTTTTAAAATTAACTAAGACTTAAATGCCTTGGGATTTTTTTTTTAAGATTTTATTTATTTATTTGAGAGAGAGCGCGCGAGGAGGTGGGGGCAAAGGGAGAGGGAGAAGCAGACTCCCCGCAGAGCAGGAAGCCAACTTGGGGCTCAATCCCAGGACTCGGAGATCATGACCTGAGCCGAGGGTAGTCACTTAACCGACTCAGCCTCCCAGCACCCCTAAATGTCTTGGGATTTTTATAAGAAAAACTACTCCATTTAGGAAGTAATAAACTGCTCAATCCATCATTTAAATCTTACCTTCAAACGGAGAAAAGAAATGTACTGGGATAGGCTCCTATTCTATAATAAGAAGACTCCTATTTTCCTAAATATCCATCTACTCCAAAATGGAGAGCACCTAGTTTCATCACCATGTTTGCCAGAAAAATCCTGGCGAAGAATCTAGTTGTCAAAATCCTGTAGTCAAAAGTAATTCCTTAAAGGGGAACAAATATATTGGGCAGTGCATGATAAAGTAAAACAATGAGGGGAGGGCTTAATAAAATAATGTGCTACAAAACAAAATCTTTTAAGTTCCTACCCTCTCTAACTCCAGGCTTTTGGAATTCAGTTGTTGGGTCATAATATCTTTGCCTGAATCAAGCTTAATGCAAAGTTCTCTAAGAGACGACAGATCATTCAACACCGCCGCTTTTGCATCTTCTTGATGTCTCAGCTCTTCTTCTAATCTAGACATGGCTTTTGCCATTGATGAGATCTGAGATTCATAAGCATGATGTGCATTTATGTGCTGAAAGTAGAAAAAGAAACCGGTAAAAAGTTGAAATAACCCAATAATCTTAAAGGCTTGAGTCTGTGCAGCCATGACCTCCCTTTATGCAAATATGAGAGCCAATTTTTGCATATTTTAAGATACTCTCAGGAAGCTGCCTGCTATTTAAAGGTAGCCTATTTAATGCTTAACCAAATGAATTGTATATAATTATTAGCCACAGTACCTAAGTACCTCATGTATATATTTGGAAGATGCAAAAATGAAAATTATTGTTTTAGGGTGAACAAGAGGGATCTTTGCAGTTAGGTTAAATTTTATCTTTATAAATTGTTATAATACCTTCTCAAGAAAAAGTAACATATATATAATCACTCCTTAGCTGTCTTTAAATTTTATATTTCAAAATGGAGTTTGCTTTAAAACGAAATACCTGAAGTTGTACTTAAACTTAATTTAACCTAATAGTAATAAACAACTTTATAAGATTTTAATAACTGAAATAATAAAGTTTGAAATACTGATACAGCTTTTTCTAGAATAGTCCACATTTTAAGTTTCTCAATTTAAACTGAGTGATAAATACAAACTGATATAAACTCTACTATAGAGTTTAATAAGACTTCCATACTTGAAAAATAAAATTATTTTAATAGGTAATAATGAAATAAGTTGACATTAAAAATCTAACTGTGCTGTGAAGATTTAATAAATTTCAACAGTTACATAAAAGTAAATATTTGGATTTTCCAAGTTAATTAATTTAAAATCAAAGTTCCCTAAACCTAAATATAAATATGTAAAAGTCAATTTTATATACCACATAAAAACATAAACAATGACATAGAACAAAAAAATTAAAGAACAGTTTCTTCTGAGAATTTTTCTGAAGGTTGAAAGCATTCCTTCAGTTATTATACTCTTAATAGGAAAAGTCAGAGAGAGAGGGTAGTTTCCTAGCACTGCTGCAACCAATCCCTGCAAATTACTGGGTGGTTTTAACAACAGAAATTTCTTGTCACAATTCTGGAGGTTACAAGTCTGAAATTTAGATGTTAGCAGAGCTGGCTTCTTCTGGAGGTTCTAAGAGAGAATCTATTCAATGCCTCTCTCCCAACTTCTGGTGGCTGCTAGCAATCCTTAGTGTTCCTTGCCTTGTAGACACTTCACTCCAGTCTCTGCCTCTGTCTTCATCTGGGGTTCTCCCTTGTATCTTCTGTTCCAGATTTCTCTTACAAAGGACACCAGTCATTGGATTATGGCCTGCCGTAGTCCAGTATGACCTCATCTTACCTTGATTATACTTGCAAAAACCCTATTTCCAAAAAAGGCCACATTCACAGGTGCTGGGGGTTAGGATTTCAACATAACTTAAGGCCCATAATTCTATCCACCCTTTAGCTCCCCAAAATTCATGTCCTTCCTTTGTGCAAAATATAGTCACTCCATGCCAACATTCTAGCATCAATTCTAAGTCCAACATCTCATCCAAGCATCATCTAAATTAGATATGGGTAAAACTCTGAGTATGGTCCATCCAGGGGCAAAACTACTCTCCTTCCCGAGAGCTGTGACACTGGTAAACAAGTTATTTGCTTCCAAAAACAACAGCGAAACAAGCACAGAATAGACATGCCCACTCTGAAAGGGAGAAAACAGAAGGAATGAAAGGGTTACTAGTCCAAAGTAAGTTTGCAACCAAGCAAGGAGAATTCCATTCGGTTTTAAGGCCTAAGAATAATTATCTGTGCCCTGATGGTCTGCCTTCTGGGCCTGCTAGGGTGGCCCCACCTTCTCAACCCTCAGCTACAGCCCCACCCTCTTGGCCCTCAGGGGCAGTGGCCCTGCACTCTGGAACAAGAAGGCAGTATCCCCTGGGCCTGTGGTGACAACAGCAGCCCTGTCAGCCTTTGAGATACCTACAGAGCCACTCTTCCTTTTTCTCTAAGGAGAACTGGTATTTTTAGTCAAGTAACTCTACTAGCCTGTTTTCTGCTGGTAGGATCCCAGATGTTCAACAGCCTTCCTTCATTTCACCTTGTTTTTGTCCCTGTTAGTACAAGCTGGCAGTATTTCTCCTGAGATGACTGACTGGCCACGTGAGTCACAGACCTAATGTGTTCACAGAGGAGCTGTGGAGCCACACACTTGGCCCTGTCTCCAGAGCACACTGTCTGGATAGGCTAAGAATTTTCCAAATCATCAAGACCTGGTTCCATTTTTCCTCCTGAATTTTAAGTCTACTATACTTAACATACAGTGTTATATTAGTTTCAGATGTACAATATAGTGACCCAACAATTCTATATACTACTCAATGCTCACCATGATATGTGTACTCGAAATCCCCTTCACCTATTTCACCCCTCCCCCCACCCACCTCCCCTCTGGTAACCATTAGTTTGTTCTCTAGAGTTAAGAGTCTGTTTCTTGGTTTGTCTCTTTTTTCTTTGTTCATTTGTTTTATTTCTTAAATTCTACATTTGAGTGAAATCATATGGTATTTGTCTTTCTCATTTTGCTTAGCATTATACCCTTTAGATCCATCCATGTTGTAAATGGCAAGAATGAAAAGATTTGTTCTTTGTTACGGCTGAGTAATATTTCATTGTGTGTGCGCATGTGCGCGTGTGTATATATATATACACACACACACATTGTATATATATGTATATACATACGCCAGATCTGCTCCTCCCCTGCTTGTGCTCGCTCGCTCTCTAATAAAAAAAAAAAAAAAAAATTCTACTTTCCTTCCAAGAGTAGACCATAATTAATTCAGCCGAGTTCTCTGCCATTTTATAACAAGGATCACCTTTCTTTCGGTGTCCAATAACATGTTCCTCAATTGCATCTCAGACCTCACTAGAAGAAACATTAAGATTTCTGGAAAAATTCTGTTCTTGACAATTTATGTATTTTGTAAATGACAGAAGTTTTGTCAATAGCTCTTCTTTCTTTTTTCTGAGCCCTTACTAGAATCCCTTTTATAATATGCATCTTTCTACCAATAAGTTTTTCAAAGCAATCTAGGCTTTTTCGATCAAGCACCTCAAAATTCTTTCGGCCTGTATCCATTACCAAATTCCAAAGCCACTTTAATATTTTTATGTTTGTTATAATTTTCCTTGAAGAAAAAAGTATGGCTGGGGTGCCTGGGTGGCTCAGTCAGTTAAGCGGCTGCCTTCGGCTCAGGTCATGATCCCAGGGTCCTGGGATTGAGCCCTGCATTGGGCTCCATGCTCAGTGGGAAGCCTGCTTCTCTCTCTCCCATTCCCCCTACTTGTGTTCCCTATCTCACTGTCTCTCTCTCTGTCAAATAAGTAAGTAAAATCTTAAAAAAAAAAAGGAAAAAAGTATGGCAATTTTTGAAAAAAATCAAACATAAAAAGTTTCACTTCCAGGTATATCCTAAATAACTGAAAGCAAGAACTTGAATAGATATTGTACATTCATGTTCGTAGCAGCATTATTCCTGGTAGCCACAGATGAAAACAAATGAAATGTCCACTAACAGATGAATGGATAAAGAAAATGTGACATATATACACAGTGGAATATTATTCAGCCTTAAAAAGAAATGAAATTTGGACACATGCTACAACATACATGAACCTTGAGGTTAACTGAACCTTAAGCCTAAGTGAAATAAGCCAGTCACAGAAAGACAAATATTGTATGATTCCACTTATATGAGGTACAAAGAACAGTCAGATTCATAGAGAAAGAGTAGGATGCTGGTTGCCAGGGGCTGAGATGGGGAGGGAGGGTGGTGTGAAAGTGAGGAATGGGGAGGAACGGGGAGTTAGTGTTTAATGGGTACAGAGTTTCAGTCAGGAAGATGAAAAAGTTCTGGCGATGGTGGTAACAGCTGTATAACAATGTGAAGTTACTAACTGCCAGAGAACTGTACTCTTAAAAAAACGGTTCAAGTGGTAAATTTGATGCTATGCATATTTTACTACAATTTAAAAAAAAAGTAATGGGGCTCCTAAGCAAATTATCAGAATTGATAAAAGATTACATTGAACTTGATGTTATCAATGCTTAAATCTCACTTCAATAAAGTATCTTTGAATGCTACTGTTTTAGTAAATAATGTCATCACAAGATAAATGAATATATTACCTCCTGAATTTCTTTTTCTAATAGCTCCACCCTTTCTCGAAGGTGTCTCCTCTCTGTGTCAATAGAAAGAAGTTCCAGTCGAACTGAGCTGCTTTCTCCCTCAGCTTGATGGGCTTTGACCTCCCAGTCTTCAGCACGGTTATGAAGCATCTGAAATCTATCTAACAAATCTTGATTTTCCTTTTCCTGGTTTTAAGCAAAATTAAATTGTTTCTAAATTAGTGACTGTCACCCACTGGAATACTCATATCATAAACATATATAGACACTGGGATTTTTGTTTTAATTAGGAAGCATACACTATTAGCATACTAAGTAAGATCTAGGGGGAAATATAAAAATACAGTAGGCAAGATCTCCACTCTCATATCTTAGTATCTAAGAGAGGAGACAGAAAAAATAAATATATAAATGAGGAGACAGAATAAATACACATGAAAATATTTTTTAGATATCAATCTTAAATCCAACCTAAATCATGTTTTTTTTACCTTAGCAGCCATTAAGCTCTCCCATCGTGACACCTCAGTTATGTAATTATGAACTCTACTCTTCATTTCTTCTTTTTCTTGCACTGCTGCTTCCAATTCCAGTGAGATTTCCTATAAATCAGAAAATTGAAGACAGATAAATCTACAATGAATGTGGCATTTAATAATGAATTATATTTATATTCAAATAGCTCCTTTTGAATTGGGGGAATAAGAGTAAGAAAAAGGAAAACTGTTCCTAAGAGTTATTTTCACATGTTTTTCCTGACCTCGACTTTTTAATCATATATTACCACCCATCTCCCACAATAGTCTTGACCATGTATCTGGCATTTGTATTATGGGACTAGCTATGCTCATGGGTTGACATTTTTAAAAATTCATATATCGGCAATATGCTGTATACTGAATACTAAAAGTAATTTTTAAAAAATTTAAAATATTTAAAACAGGAAAACCATTCATCTTCTTGGTATAATCCTTTAATAAACCAGCAGAAACAAAACCAATACTTTTCAGTACCTGTCATTCTAAAATAGTCATTAATTTACTTATAGGTATATCCCTAAGCTGCTGGCAGGAAGTATGAAAAATTAAAATCTATCCTGGGTCTTTAAAACACATCACTTTGCCCTTGGAGTGAGGCTGAGGGTGACAATGGTATCTGCCACAGAGAAAACCACGCTCTCAGCTTTAGGATTCCCTGTAACACAGACCAAAATGGTACGGAGACCACGGTTGATCAATTAGACACGCTGTGAAATACAGGAGCGTTCTAAACCACATTTTTTAAATACTCTTATAAATTCCATTCTCCTCAAAGAATTATTTATGTTGTTGATATTTAGATCATTAATATGTTTAAAAAACATATTTAGAGCTTTAAAATTAGCAAAGAATGAATATGCTGTAAAACAATCAAAGTTTATGCATTGTGCTCATACCTGGTTTTCTCTTGCCATTGTAGCCAGATCATCTTGTAATCTTCTGTTTTCCTTGAAAGACATTTCTTTAGATTTTCCTACCTCATCAAGTTCTTTGTGAGCTGCATCAAGCTGGCGCCGGAGGCTGCTTATTTCTCGGTCCCGATTCGTCAATGTTTCCTTTAGCTGGCTGTTAATACGAGGGATGTGGAAATAATAAAGAAAGCTCTTTGGAATACTGTAAATCATTTAAAAGAAAACTGTTGTACTCTGAATTAGGTATACTAAGAATACAAGAAACCACACTGCCTTAAGATACTGATTAGGTAAAGCAGATATTTTAGATCTCTACCAAACATTATTTAGAAATAGTCATAAAATAAATTTATAATTCCAAAAGTCAAGGAAAAATAGAGGACTTTTTTTTTTCTTTTTAAATAGAGGGCTTTCAAATGTTAGGAGCAAAACATTATAGATTGAATTGGCAAATGTTACTTAAGTCCCCACTACTATGAAATGTGTAAGGTATATAAAATAATAATTAGTGACTTTTGTTTTAAGTAGAGACGACATAAAATGAAAAATTTTGTAACTGTTCAAGATAGGCTTTGATGTAGAACAAATTCCAGACTGGCTACTAAAGTAATCTAAGTTTTAATGATTAGGGTCTGAACAGAGTAATCATAGTAGAAATAAAAAGCAAATAGGTATATAAAAGAATCATGAATCAGACATAACTGTTGAGATGCTGATGATGGAGGAGGGGAGAAAGTTGAAGAAGATGGCATGTTCATGTAATAGATTCAGATGCTGTCACAGGCAAAACTGAACAAGGAAATTTTCCTATTGTCAAATTGCTACTTAAAGACATAAACTGCTCTTACTGAAAATTTCTTTAAAGAGCTGGATGCCATTTCATTGATTACTTACTTCATAGAAGATTCATACTCTGAGACTGTCTTCTTCATCTGAGCAATAGCTTTTTCCTACAGAAATTATGAAAATATAGGATTCTAAAACATTCATATAAAAATGTCTTTGCTTGAATTTATAATTTATCACGTTTATATAAATTACGCTATAAAAGAAAGTTTCAAAGTAAACATTTCTATGTCCCAACTGTACTTCACATATTGGCATGTTTCTACCCACTCTAAGAATCTGAATTGTTTCCTTGAGTCTGCTATAATCACATCTGATAAAATTATGTTCTATAAATAGAATTTTTTTTTGAGAGAGAAAGTGCATGCACCCATGACAGCTGGGGAACAGGGGCAGAGGGAGAAAGAGAATATCAAGCAGGGTCCACACCCAGTGCGGAGCCCAACACAGGGCTCAATCTCACAACCCTGAGATCATAACCTGAGCCGAAATCAAGGGTCCGATGCTTAACTGACTGAGCTACCCAGGCACCCCTATAAATAGAATTTTTGCAGATCCGAATTATTGGCATGAAATGAAATTTAAGCATATTAGAAGATATGGCTCTGGGTCTTAGGAACTTGCATATGGAGGTAAGAATTGCATATTTGAGAGAGAGAATGAAATTGTTTCTGCTGAGATGCCGGATAAAGGTATTTAAAAGTCACATACTTTACTAGCCAGGTTTTCTTGCAAGTTTGCAATCTTTTCTGTCTTCTCATCTACAGTCTCCTGAAGAAAGTCTTTTTCTTTGTCAATAACACCAATGGTCTTTTTCATCACATGAGCCTCTTCATTCTGCGAAGTCATCTGAAGGTGCAGTTTACCTATGAATAAAGAGAAATGTTCATTAGACAAAGTAAATTAGGTTTAGCAAAAGCAAAATTTAAAAACACGTACCTATTTTTTCCTCCAGTATGTTAATTTGGGCTTGGGCTGATTCAAGTTCACCTCTTTTCTTGGACAGCCGGTGCTGACAATCATCAAGTGACCTCTGTAGCTGCTCATTTACTATCCTAAAGTATACGGACAAAAACAAATGGCATTCTTTATCTCTGGTAGAAATAATTTTTTAAAAATGAGAGATCTGAAAAAAGTATTTTCTTATTTTTAAAGTTTCTTTTATTTTTTATTTTAAAGCTCTTCCAGTATAATCAATGATATTATACTATATATTATTTCTTGCTGTCCACCATTCTTCTCCAAAATGGTTCCACTTCCTAAAAATAATATAGTATGAAAATCAAATTAATTGTATACTCTTTTCTAGAGGTTTTTTGGTAGTTTTAAAGCCCTCCTCAGTTTCCTAATATCAACATTTTCCCTTATAAAATCTATTTTCAATAGCAGAGGTAAAGGTGTAGTCATTTTTACAGTATTCCCTGGCACTTCCAAGGATTATCCATAAATCCTGACCAGTGAGCTTTTAATTTTGCTTTCTATTTTGACTTTTTTGGTGGGTAGTCAACTGGAGGTCATAGTAAACAGGGAAAGTGGACATTTATTGTAGTGCAATGAATATTTAAGAGTAAAGACTTGTTTCAGGGAACAAAATAAAGAAGAAATAAAGACAATTTCAGAGGAATGACTTACTCATCAGTGAGATTATTTTTCAGAAGTAACAAGAATTTGCTCTCCTGTCATCTAGTTCTGGGATGCTTTTAGCCCTAGAGTACTCAACCCTGCTCAGCTGGAAAGAAGTGGTTCTCACCTCAGGCTATTTATTGGGAACTCCCAAATGTTCCTTTTTAGAGTTCTTTTGAGGATAAGACAGGGAAGTAACTACCAAGGGTGGCTCAGTTTAGAACTGCTTAAGGGGGAGGGGCTTTCAATTTCCGAAGCCACAAGTAAGATGGGACATACGGATAGAAATGAGGAAGTTTTATTGGCAATACGAAGTATTCTGAAAGACAAAAGACATGACCTTGATTGCTCTGACCACAGGTGAATAATAGCCCAGACGCAGGGAGGAAAGATGAACTGAGACTGGCTTCTTTAGGGTTGCACAATCAAACAGAACCAAGTCAGAAGGACTCTATGTTCAAGGAATTTTATTTCAAAAAAATACCTTTGAGGTCCAGGTGACTGCACTGTATTCAAGCTGTTCCTGAAAGCTACAGCTATTGCACTGAGGGATATAACCACAGGGAGCAGAGAAAAAAGAAAGCTAATATTCATTGTATTGATACTTTATACACATTAGCTCTTTCATTCCTAGAACAATTCCATAATTAGAAATATCATCCGAATTTTATAGAAACAAACTAATAACTTGTCCAAGGTGACAAAGCTATTAAAGCAAAGATGTAAATCCAGGTGGGCTAACCTGATATCAATGTTATTCTACTACATGACATTGCCTTCTATGAAGAATTCAGGGAGACCAATATCCTCTATCTGGAAGGGAAAATGTTCAAAATGGAATGGGCCACAGGGTCCCTATGAAGGACACCAAATGGTTGGCAGTGTTTGAAGTCCTAAGTAGAAAGGTAAAGATGTCTTCACATTTAAGGTTCATAAGGAAGGTTAATTCCTAATAAAAGTAGGACTGATAAAGGAAGACAGAGTAACATCTTCACTGTACACAAAAAGTAGGCCCTTGGTGAGTCCTAAAAATAGCTTTACCTTTTCATACTCTAGTGTAGCCAGGAAGGAGCCAATAGAGATTCTATAATTGACCCTGGATGTAACTTTTCTGACAGAAATACTGCTGCTAAGAAAAAGGTCTGCTTAATGAAAGAACCAAGGTATAAATTTCATAAGGACAAATAGTTGAGTGACTATCATACTATTTGTTCATCATGGTATTTGGAAAGGAAAATTTGAGAACTACGTTGTTAGGAGAAATGAACCAATTTCTTAGCTTTGAAAGTGTCATTAACATAACACAGGGAGTGATGACTTAGCACAAGACAGTGAAGCAGTAAAACAACTTAAAATCAAAGTTCTAGCTCTCTACTTACCAGCCATGTGGCTGGATAGGACCATCTCTCTGAGCCTCAAATTCCTTAGTTATACTATATTACATAGAGGTATACATGATTTCATTTTAGGGGGCAAAAGCAATTACTTCCCTTCATGATGAAATATATTTTATTTTATTTATTTATTAAAGATTTTATTTATTTATTTATTAGAGAGTGAGAGAGAGAGAGAGAAACAGCATGAGAGAGGAGAGGGTCAGAGGGAGAAGCAGGCTCCCCGCTGAGCCGGGAGCCCAATGTGGGACTCGATCCCAGGACCCTGGGATCATGACCTGAGCTGAAGCAGTCGCTTAACCAACTGAGCCACCCAGGCGCCTGATGAAATATATTTTAAAGACAGCATCTAAAAGAGTCCTTATTCATAACAAGGGTTCAAGTTCTAAAATGGAGCTGAAGCTCCATCTTACAGGGGTAGGTTTGGAATTTTAATGGTGTATCAGAGGAAAGAGAAACAGTAATGATATCCCTGGTTTGGTTTTTTTTTTTTTTAATTTGTGGAATATTTACCAATTTAACCATCTGTAAATGTAAATCAGTGGCATTAAATACATTCACAATCCTGTATACCCATCACCACTATCTATCCAAAACTTTTTCATTATCACCAATATAAACTCTGTTTATATAACCCATTGAACAATAACTCCTCCTCCTCTCTTCCCATTCCCTGGTAACCTCTAATCTACTTCCTGTCTCTATGAATTTGACTACACTAGGTACTTCATATAAGTAAAATCATACGGTATTTGTTCTTTTGTATTTGGCTTACTGCACTTAGTACAGTGTGTTCAAGGTTAATCTATGTTGTAGCAAGTGTCAGAATATCCTTTCTCTTTATGGTCGATCCAGTGTATGTATATACCACAATTTGTTTATCCATCTGCTGATGGACATTTGGGCTGTTTCTTTCTTTTGGCTATTGTGAATAGCGCTGCTAAGAACATTTGTGTACATACACTGGTCTGTTTTTAATTCTTTTAGGTATATACCTAAAATTGCTGGGTCAGATGGTAATTCTGTGTTTAGCTTTTTAAAGACCTGATAAATTGTTTTCCACAGCGGCTGAGCCATTTTATATTCCCATCAACAATATGAGAGTTTTAGTTTCTCTACATCCTTGCCAACACTTGTATTTTCTTTCTCATTTATAGCCATGCTAGGGGATGTGAAGTGGTACCTCACTGTGGTTTTGGTTTGCATTTTCCTAATGAGCATCTTTTCATATGCTTGCTGGTTATTTACATATCTTCTTTGGAGAAGTGCCTGTTTGAGTCCTTTGCCCATTTATTTTTTTTAAAGATTATTTATTTATTTATTTGACAGAGAGAGAGTGAGCACAGGCAGGGGGAGCGGCAGGCAGAGGGAGAGCGAGAAGCAGGCTCCCTGCCAAGCGGAGAGCCCGATGTGGGGCTCGATCCCAGGACCCTGGGATCATGACCTGAGCCAAAGGCAGACGCTTAACGACTGAGTCACCCAGGTGCCCCAAGTCCTTTGCCTACTTAAAAAAGACTAGTTGCGTCTTTTTGTTCAGTTATGAGTTCTTTATACATTCTGGACACTAGACCCTTATCAGAGATATGATTTGAAAATATTTTCTCCCATTCTGCAAGTTGTCACTTTCTTGATAAGGTCCTTTGATACACAAAATTTTTTATTTTGTTGGAAGTCTAATTTACCTAGTTTTTCTTTTGTTGCTCATTCTTATTAGTGTCCCATCTAAGAATCCATTGCCAAACCCAAAGTCATAAAGATTTATTCCTATGTTTTCTTCTAAGAGTTTTATGGCTTTAGCTCTTCTATTTAGGTCACTGATCCATTTTGAGTTAATTTTTATAATTAGTGTGAGGTAGGGGTCCAGTTTCATTCTTTTGCATGTGGATATCCAGCTATTCTAGCACCATTTATTGATGAGACTACTCTTTCTCTATTGAATGCTCTTGGCACCCTTGTTGAAATCCATAGATACATGGGTTGGCCATAGATACATGGGTTTATTTCTGGACTTTCAGTTCTATTCAATTGGTCCATCTTTATGGCTATCTTTTTGCCAGTTACCACACTGTTTTGAATACTATACCTTTTTTTTTTTTTTAAAGATTTTATTTATTTGACAGAGAGAGAGAGAGAAAGCACACAAGCAGAGGGAGGGTCAGGGAGAGGGAGAATCAGACCTGCTGAGCAAGGAGCCCAACATTGGGCTTGATTCCAGGCCCCTGGGATCATGACCTGAGCCAAAGGCAGATGCTTAACCAACTGAACCACCCAGGCACCCCGCTTTTTTTCTTTTTGATATACAATAGTATATTAGCTTCAAGTATACAACATAGTGATTTGACAGTTTATACATTACAAAATGACCACAATAGGTCTGGTTCCCACCTGTTACCAAAGTTATTACAATATTGCTGATTATATCCCCTCTGTTGTACTTTCTATTCCTGTGACTTATTTCTCTTTCTCTGTCTGCCCTTTGTCACTTAGTATAATAGCCTCTAGGTCCATCCATGTTGTCACAAAATGACAAAATCTCATTCTTTTTTATGGTAATATTCCACTGTATATGTATATACCATATCTTTTTTTTAAACCATATTTTCTTTATCCACTTATCTATCAATGGACACTTGGGTTGCTTCCCTATCTTGGCTACTGTAAATAATGCTGCAATAAACATAAGAATGCATATATCTTTTTGAATTAGTGCTTTAGTTTTCTTTGGGAATCACTGGATCATATGGTATGTCGTTTTTAGTTTTTTGAGGACCCACCATACTGTTTTCCACAGTGGCTGTATCAATTTACATACCCACCAACAGTACATGAGAATTCTTTTTTTCTCCGCATCCTCACCAACACTTATTTCTTGTCTTTTTGATTCTAGCCATTTTGACTAGCCTGAGGTGGTATCTCACTGTGGTTTTGATTTGCATTTCCCTAATGATTAGTGACGTGGAGCATCTTTTTATGTATTTCTTGTGTATCTTCTTTGGAAAAATGTCTATTCATGTCCTCTGCCCATTTTTTAATCGATT